AGGACATCAGATTCATTTACATTATTCTTTTGAAAGAATTGTTATTTTCTAAAATTTCATTTGCAGTTGAAAGACACCACAATATCTTCCAGTAAATCTTCTAATACAATAATAAGAAAAAAAGAATGTTTTATGCTAATTTAAAAGGACAGTATTTTAATTTCTTTCATGTAAATTGAGGATGATAATATACATTTGTCCTCATGTTCAGTCRATCTGGTAGCTCAATACATGTGGAAGTATATTTCAGAATATAAATTACTGTATAAATATAAGTTTTTATTTTTAAGACACTAAGATATGATTTTCCTAATGTTAAATAACCTATGAAGGGACAAACCAATGAGCCAATCTAAAACTACATTGTCACAGATTGTCAATGTGAACACGCTAACACCACTAGAATTATTCTCATTGTATCATTGTATGTGAGTATGGTTTGATCCTCTATTGAGAAATTATTTTATATGAATAAATTTTGCTTCAAGTTAAGTGAAAAAACAAAATAAAATATATTACAATAATAACTATTATTTTTTATAAATATATGTTTTTAAAAACTAGGCTATGTAGAATGCATATGATCTCTAAAACCCCTCATTGGCAGAAACTATTCAAAATAGTTTGGATCAAATTAAATAGTTTTGATGAACTTGGATCAAATGGACTTTTTCTGGAAAGAAATAATTCTATCTATCAGATAGAAAAATCCATTTCTTCCAAAGTGTGAGAAACAGGAATTTGGAATGATTTGCAACTTAAATAACACTTTTCTTTCCTTAAAAGGAGTTTCCAGACTGGATTATACTACAGAACAGACACTCAAAAATATTGTTAMTGAATGACTAAGCTTTTTTGAAAAAGCCTTTCTTTAATCATTTACATTCTGACTTCATATAAAAAGGGAATTGAGCTTCCAGTCATTTGGGGAAGCAACTGGGAACTTCTGGCAAGATCAAAGAAGGAAAACAATGTGTAAAGCTTCAAGATTTTGTCATTTTTAAAAACATTTTTTTTTGTTTTTGCTGTGTAGAAGTACCGCAGCTAACATAAATAGAACAAATGGTAGAATTTAAAAAGTTTCAATTGTTAATTATCTAACGACCTAATTCAGAAAAGGACACTAAAAACTTTAGCTAAAAGTTTGATAGAATTCTGGATACTCACAAGATGTCTAAGCATCATGTAGGAAAAAAGAATTAAAGAGATTACTATTTTAAAATCCTTAATACTGTAATTGATTCTGGCAAGGATGATCTGAGGTTCCTAACTCAATTAAAAAACGGATGGCATCCTGAATATTCACAAGGTACTCAAGTATCACATCATTTACTATTTGCTAAATATAAGGGGGGAAAGTGCAACTTTAGAGTTATGAGATCTGATTCCACTTTAATCCAGAGATTGTATTGAGCTTCACCGTCCTAGGACTAGCAGGCTGTATGTGCTTCCAGATGTGATGAATATATGAAGAAATGCGTCATCTATGGAGTGTTATTGCCAAAAAATGTTTAATCAAGGGTTTGGATGTAATTTCCACTGGGAACACAAAGTACAGAAAATAGTAAAACAAGCTAAATAATGCCAATTAGGTGAATTCAGAATATATGGAATATTCCACAAGACAATTAATTGGAAAATTTACCCAGTCTCCAAAACATCATTGTCATAAAAAAGAAAGAAAGAAATGAAAAAAGAAGAAAAAGAAAGAAGGGTAAAGAGATAAAACTATTCTAGAATGAAAATCATCTTGACAGAAAATGCAAACAGATGCAATGCTCTAAAAGATAGTTTGGCAGAAAGAAACAGGAATATAGAGTACTTTAAAGATGRTATTTAGAGATTACTGTTAATTTGGTCAGGTGTCAAAATGATATTTGGTTAGGAAGAAAAATGTCCCATGTTTTAAAAATCCACCTTAAGTGTTTAGTTATGAAATGCACAATGTAATTTTTATTAAAATATAAAAATGCTTATTTTTAAAACACTGTATATGTAGTTTTTTGTTTCTTCTGGAAGGTGGAACAATGTGATACACCTAAGTCACTATCAGCTGGAMATAAGTCATTTATGATAGGGTTCAATCACTATTGTCATGAATTGGCAGTAGAAATGCACTTTTGTCAATTTTCCTCACTTAATACTCTATTTTCTTACACGGAGCTTAGCAGATTTCCTTATGAATATCTAAAATAACTAAAAGAGTAATTAAATTCACCCCTTTTATGACCCTTGTTATCTGTCAAGTAAGTGATAAGGGCTGGACATTCATCTTTTCATGTGACTCTTGCAACAGCCTTGAAAGTGTACACTATTAACTTATTATTATTTATTCCACAAATCAGAAAAGCAAGTTTTAGAGAATTAAAGTTATTTCCTAATTTTTAAAGCAAAGCCCTCAAGCATGTCCATTCCAAAGTCTATACTTTTACTCAACTTTGCAATGTCTAGAAACAGACAATCAAATATTAATGAATTTATGGCTGTAGTGTTCCTTGAGACATAAAACACAGTTGTAATCATTAAAGCTGGCTTTATGATATGGCGCAGTGTCTTGCATGGAACAAATGCTCCTTTTATTTCTAAGAAATCATTTGGCTGCTTTTGAATCCATCTGCTCTTTCTGATAAATTTATATATTTTTTAGTGAATTATCACCTTATCATTTTGTTTGAAATTGCATCAAATTTATATAGTAAGTTGTGAAAACTAATACTTGAGCAAGCCTTCCCCAATGGTAAAATTATGGATTTTCATACATTATGCCATTTTTTATACCACTCAGTAAAAGCTGGCTGCTTTGAAAAAGAAGTGGTATTTCTTACCAAGTTGAATTGTATACACAGATATAGAGATATCTGTATATATGTAGATATATAGATTTCTCTCTCCATGCCCCMATGCACAAGTGTGTGCATATTCATTATTTTTGCTAGTGTAAATTTTGAGAAATATGCTATGTAAATTGGTACCATTTTCCAAGAGGGAATATTGCAGAACAAAATATTCTTTAATTGTGCACCTACCTGGACATTTTAGTTTCAATTTTAGGACTTTAGAATTACAGATTTTTTTTTGAAAAAATTATAAGATGAAAAACACATTTTTAAAAACTAATGACATAAATATATAAATTTTATATTAGTAACTTAAAATAGTTATGAAAAATTATCTACAGAAGTCTCATTGTTTTGAAAAGTATATGTAAATGTACATCAATACAAATACATTCATGGGTAAAATATATACATACACCCCAAAATTAACTGTATTTATTGGTGATTAGTGAGATTATAGCATTTTGCTTTCTTTTTGCTTTTCTAATTTTCGATTTTATCTACAATTAATCTGTAATGCCTTTGTTTTCAGAAGAGAGAAATACAGCTGTAAAAGTTATATTTGGAAATGGGTAATGTGTATCTCAGAAGTCGTTTGTTGATTATTCTACAATGTCAGATAGATTGACCTTATCCTACAGGGAATTTTTTGGTGGCATTGAGGGATTTCTGCGTTAAAATCACAAACACGGTTGACGATAGAAAGAAATAAATATCAGACCATACAAGTGTCATTTCTGAAATAAAGTAACAAAGGAGGAAMAATTGTCTTTGATATCTTTGTTCTTGTACCTTAAATGTTCTTCATGAAAATTTAAATCTTATGGCATCTATACATTTCATAGGAATTAGGTGAGATGCACTGCTTTATTTCATTGTTATTTTTCTCCACATAAAGTTGTATCATTTCAGTACCAAGAATTTCTCATAAACAGGTACATATTTAAGGAATGAAAATTAGAACTTGTGATTGGATTTTTGAGTCTGTACGTTTTACCAATTTTTCTCTGTTGTCTACTGAATAGCAATGAAGAATCATGCTTCACAGACTGTGTGGGTGGAAATTTACCTTGGAAAATCTGAAGAATTACACATGTAAACCTTAAAGCCAGGTTGGAATCAAGACTGAGAAACTTCTAAAATTTTGGTTAAACATTTTATTTTTCAGAATAATAGTGACAGAATAATACTTGAATCCAAGACCCCTTCCYGCTGCTGTGAGCTCCAGAATTTCTTTATAGGATGCCTGGACAAGGCAGTTGTGGGGAACAGGGCTTCTTTTAGCATCACCCGGTTAACACCAGAGGTACAGGTCTATGTGCACCCAAGCTAAGATGACAAACTCCAACTTAAGAGCTACTATATATACATTTGTTGAACAAATAAATGAATTATGGTGTTCATATATGAAAAATATTAGTATAAAACTATGAAAAAGAGTATAATAGAAATATGGCAAGTTTTGAGGTATTTATAATAACATACTGATTAACTTTTGGATGATATTTTATATATATATATATATATATATATATATAATATCATATGCAATATGCATATACATGTATATAAAATTAAGTAACAAAGTTAACAGAGAACAGTAGAAAAAAGGAATTTGAATTACTCTCTTATTTGCAGCCCATTAATGTTTTTGAAGAAAGAATGAAATGTTTTAGTAAAATCCCAGAAACAAAACCCTTGTTTTGTTCAATAGGAAGACATGAAAGAGTTTCTGGAAAGAGATAAAGCCCTGTGGATCCTGAACCAAAGTTATGTTTTCACAGACTTTATCATAAARTATAAAATTTGGTTTTATTCTTAATTGCATAAAACATTTCAATTGTTAATATATTCAATTTTAAGGTATTTATGAATGATAAGTTGTTAGACCAAATCCTTTAGTGTTTACAGCCTCTTTCACAATTGTTTAAGTAACTATATGCATTTAAAACACCTTATTTCAAAAGTTATTTATAAAGTACATAAGAGCTTTTGATGTGCTCTTAAAAGAAGCATTGAAACTTTATATTTCATTATATTCATTTTCATGAGCAAATTAAAGTGGAAACAAAGTAATTCCATTTGCACTCCAGATCATTTTGTATAAGGCTTGATTAATGTTTTTAACCTCTCTCATTGCAGTGATTAGCCTGAGTAGATATGATGGAGACAAATGAGACACAGGTGACTGAGTTTGTTCTCACGGGACTTACAGACCGTCCAGGGCTGCAGGTGCCCCTGTTCCTGGTGTTCCTTGTGATCTACCTCATCACCATGGTGGGCAACCTTGGCCTGATTGCTCTCATCTGGAAGGACCCCCACCTTCACACCCCCATGTACTTATTCCTCAGTAGTTTA